TATCGGCCTTATTACAAAAAGATAAACCTGGTTTAGCACTAGTAATAAACCATTCACCAATGTATTCCTTATTACAAAATGAAGTTTATCTCTAAATCGTGATTCGTCTATGGTCTAAAGTTAGACCTGCGATGCCCCTAGTTTAACAGTGGTCTAAATGCAAAAATACAAACTCCATTTTAAAAATTCTATTGTAAGTTGTAGTTTTTGGAAAAATATTTTAACTAAATTAAAAATATATTAACTAAAAATTTTTAAAGCAAAATTTTACGACAATAAAAATATATAAAAGACATTATTTGTTATTTTTTCACTCATTTGACTTTGAAATAGTCACCATTCGAACGATCCAATAAAAATATCTCGCCGTTCCTTTTCTCCGTATAGGACTCCTACTTGTAATTTAAAACTGATTTTCAGTCTAATAGTACATTAATAAATATTATATATTAATGAAATAGTTATAATGAAGACATAGATAAATAGAAAAAAAATTATTTTTAGTTTATACATTTTTCTTTGAACTAATATTATTTTTGATCTTTTCAGTTTTCTGGTAAAATGGAACGTAATTGTACAGTGACAGACATGAGTGACTGATTTCTGTATGGAATACATAATGAACGATTTAACTGTAGTACTAAGTAGTTCTCTGTTAGATCTGGATTCGTAATAATGTTAGGTTTATTCCAAGTATTAACTTTAGGAATGGTTTAAACCACGACCATTTAGACCATGTTTCGTCCGAGTTTTAACACATTTTTTGTAATAAGACCGTATGTTTTCACTTCCAAAAAAAATGATGATCTACTGCAGTTTATTATTAGGCGTGTGATATATAGAAATCCAATAAGACAAAAAGAGATATACTCATAAATTTCAATGTTTGTAGTATGCGAAACCCGTAATGCGTAAAGTATTTTGACGAGATATGAATTCATATACAATTATTATTTAATAAAAACAAAACATCAATAGAAAATATACTTGTCTCAAAAAAAAGGTTATAAAAAAGAGTATCGAAATAAGATAAATAAAAAATTGATGGTAATTACCATAACAACATTTATTCAGGTACGATATAATAGTCGTAGTTACAAATTTATTTTGTTTTAATTTTCTCATATATCTGAGTGCCGTTGATATCTAGAGCTATACCTGGCTTATAGTTGCGCGATGTACACGCGACAAGATTTAAAGTCTCAACGGCGAGTGAGCGTCAGACAAATATTTCACCCCGACTCACGGCGCCAAGTTGAAACACGGGTATGTGACGCTATAGCGAAACGAACTGCTGTAAATCAGACGCGAGCCGTCTTGCACATTCATCTTTCATTTGGTACCAACTATAGACTAACGCAGGAGTCTCCGATCCATTTGACAGACAGGCTATAACTTTTGCTACTGAATAATTACTTCAGTCTATAAAGAAAATAATAATGTTTCTTGTTAAAGAACTCATTAGTTTTATATTTAAACTTAATAAATATTTAAAATGAATAGGAAACTGAAGGCTTGACTGGCAGCCATTATAATTTAAAATAGCGATTTCAATGGACGAGTTATATATTACTCGAGTAGGAAATATAAAGAAAAAAGTCACATCAAGCTATTCTCTTCATAGATTATTTTTGTATCCATTACATATCTATACATTATCTATCCATACATTATTATAATTTACGTTTTTCTTTCTTAAAAAGCTATCTTCAGTCACTATATTTACGTACCCTAAAGGTAAAAGCATCTTACGATTAAAATATAAAATCATCGAAATTGTTTCAGAATTAACAAAGATTTAGCATAATGTACAATCGACACTTTTCTAACATTCTAATTATAAACAACGTCTTGACTTTTATCATACAGATTAATCCATTTAATCTTATTACAGTAACGTGCCTATGAACCTGTTCTATATGGGATCACATGTTTGTTACTTATATAACCATCTCGTGAGATAAAACAAGGCATTGAACTATGTTTACTGTAAAACTATACTTCACTGTAAAATTCAATGTGAACGTAATGTGATTCTAATGTTTATTTCTAAGATTGCAAGAAACGAAGTGAATCGAAATAGAAATAAAATTAATCCCGTAGCATCCTTAAACGAGTTATTACCAGAGCTATAAAGAGTGACTACTTCCTAGTGGCAGCACAGAAGCGGTACGATTTCATAACACAATTTTCCCTTTCGCAACTTGAGTTAGGTAGTTGCGGTTGCTTGATACAATCCGAGAATATCCAGATTTATAATTTAACTAGCTTTTGCACATAACTCCATTGCTCTAGAAATTTCCTTTCAAAATAATTTCATTTGGTACTATATAGATAGTATAGTTATAGATATATTATATATATTTCAGAATATTTTTAGCGTATTGTAATTTAAATAAATAAATAATATTTTACAACATTCATATATTATTTAGTTAATCTCTAGTCAAATAATCTTAATATCTGAGCACTTTAGAATAATGATATTTTTTTAATTTTACAATTTATTCAGAACGCAGATTCGTCACAAGAAGAATCAGCAGAATACTCGCTTCAAGTTGAACAAATTATTAATTTAATAAAATGTCATTAAATGAGAGCGTTCTCATTTTTACTCTATAATATCCACTAAATAAATAAATTATGTTATCACGAAATATGCACTAGATGTAAGTATTCTATGTTACGTATAATGACAGTAAGAATATACACATCTCTTTACACCACTTCCCTTCACGTTAAAAGAGTCGATTTGGTGAGCAAACCATTTAACACCATTATAGGAGAAGGAAAAGTCGAAATAAAACCAAGTTGCTTGGCCAACTTGGTAATAGCAGGCTAATATCCCACTCTTATGTGGCAGAGACCCGTGCCCTGGAGTGGGCTGTTAATGGGTTGTAATGGCATAGTATGTTACAAATACCATGTATGTATTCCATAGCTTTGTTCACGTCTGCAGGCAATAATTGGTACCACTTTCCATCAGATAGTTCGGATAGCCTATTTGTGATTTTCATAATAAAAATCCTACTACATTTTCAATTAACTTGCTCTTTCATTATTGGAATACAGAACAGGCTCGATTTTATACGTAAAGATATCGAAAATTCAATTATATCAGTCCTTTTGGTCGAGACTGAGAGTCGCTAAGTTAATAAAATCTGTTGAGAGTGAATGGCTTCTTGAAATACGAATATATATTTGTAGAATATATTTTTTATTGATCTGTACTTATATCTAAACAAGGAAGTTTTGATTTGTTTTTTTGAATTAATTAGGTATTAGTATTATAATAAAAAAATAGATATGCCTACTACACTTATGCACGCGAAGTATGGCACTAATTACGAAAGTTATTTAATTAAGACAATTTCAAAATGTCCATTATTTCAGATAAATACATAGATGTTTTCTTTTATTCGGTGTCATTTTAAGTTAGTATTTCTCAGAGTATTTGTGTCCAAGCAATAAGTGTTCTAGCGTTGAGTGTTTACTGTCTCTCTTCAATTTTCTCCAAGCTTAATGCAAACATACCACAAAGTCTGTAGTCTCAGTTTGAAGTGGTCTACTATGAGTATATATATGTACACTACTTTGTGCAATATTATATACGAGAAAAGTTTGTAGAAGCAATGTTAATGCAATACTGGTCTTTAATAATGTTATAGGTATCATGGTCGTTTATTTATAAGATTCAGTCAGGATTCTAATTTAGATGGCTGCTAATAGGTTTTTGTTTCATAAAATAATCTATTGAATCCAGATATGTCTAGTGTATAATTTAGATAGTGTTTTATTCAGTCTTCTATCTTGTGTACTGAAGGCATTTTGTACCATAAAGTAATAATCAAGGAATTATTAAACAATTACAAGAAATAATTGGTGCGATTTAAAGATTTACTGCCGGGACTTTGCATGGGTTTCTCTGTTAATGAAAATAAGAATTTATCAATCTGTCAATTCACACCACAATTTCGTCCATATATTTCCGGATATATCCTTTCATACTAACCTTAATCGGACATTTAGGATCTTGCAAAAAGTTACCAAATGGTCTGAAACTCATTACTGACATATTCATAAACAAGATATATTATTTATTGCAATATAAATTATATATCATTAACAACCAACGATCATTCACTCAGTAAATCATTACTTATTACTTCCGAGTTGTTGTATTTCAAAATAACCTTACAACAATAGATTATATCTTTGAATTATCAGCAAATAAAACTGCCAATTTGAATATGCCAATATTTGTTTGTTGCAATAACTCCATCTTCATTCGATTTCCCACGAATAGTAACCCAAATACAAACCAGCTGTAATGATAGGTTAAAGTCAAATCGATGTTGTTTGCAAATAATCTGTGACTACATAATTATAATAATATTCTGCCTTTCTTGTACTAAAATATATCACTAGCCTACATGAAAATATATATTTTAATGTTTACATACTAAGTGATTATTAATAGCTTTTTTTGCTGTTGTTTACAATTATATACATTCAATAAACGGGATATTTACCATAATAATATTATACAAACATCGAAATATTAGAAGCTCCTAGATATATATATATATTTCTTAATTACGCCGTTATTGTCCATAGACTGAAGGACCATGTCCTTTTTTGAGTACAGCGTTTTTTAGCTCCTGTATATTGCGTTCACCATGACGCCGATAGGAATTTTGAATATTTGAAATTCAATAATCTTACCATATAAATATGAACTTGGTTATAGAAGCTAAGCGCATTGAAGAAGAGCATTGGGTTTACGAATTTAGTTACGGAAAATTTTGTGACAATTTACGTTTCTGATTAAAAAAAGTATTATGTCTTTATGTGATGAAAAACCTTACAGCAAATTGGTAACCAAAAAATAGGAAACTGGGAAAAAACTCAAATGTTGTTTAAATTAAAGTCATGTCATAACATACATAAATGCATATTTATTTTATATTAATATTAATTGTTATACACCTTTGTTGCAGGATGACCTTCACTGCCGCGCTGGTGTTGCTATGCGTGGCATGGGGCGCGAGTGGTGGTCAGCCGGTGTTCGACCCCAACACGCTGATGCGGCTGGTCCTCGTGCCAGCAGACGCCACTGTCGGCTCCGTCATCTACCGCGTTCGCGCCTCCGACCCTGACTACGATTATCCTCTGCATTTCGAACTTATAGGCAAGACATTTTTTATATTAATTGGAGTAGTTAGACGGATGTCTAACGGCTCTATTACTAGTGAGTGGTAAACGTCGCCTAATGACGTAGACAGCACCACGGCCTTCATGTAATTATGTGACGTTTGTTGTACAACACACGCGATGTTATTCCGGAAGACTACGATGTCTCATGCCTCAGTACCTGTAATTTAACTACATACCTTATCTCACCATTCCAGCCAAAACACGACTTACAAAGTAACCTGCTCTGTACGTAGATAACAAAGTCTACCTCGGTCAAACAACAATAATAATGTCAAAAACACAATCAATTCAATTGGGAGAATTATTAAGTTAAGATGAGACATTTAATACAATTCCAAAATTAAACGTCGATAAATATGACTCGTAACAGCTTTATCACTAACTAGCTTCAAACGTATGTAATTGTTATAGGAATCGTAGCCATTTTTCTTACTGACTAATATAATGTAATTTTCTATCGGAGAACTGTCTTTTGATGATTTATATTAACTGAATACTACTAAATACTACAATTTTTTGAATTAAAATTATATTTATTTAAATTTTATTTATTGCAGACGTAACAAATCTAGTAATATATATTACTAAATATAAACGTTTACAACAAACAATGTGGAAGGCTCTTCCTTCCATCCATTCATGAAAACATAATCATCTTCATCGGTACTTACCTCTGTCCCACCTATTTCTATTACAGTAACCAAATTGCTTGCTTGGTAATATTGTAGTCTATGCCTGCACGCATGCTATGTTCCGGTTTGAAGGGTGAGATATGGCAGTGAAATTACTGGGTATTGTGCTTCATAATCTTCATGTCACAGGGGTCGGTAACACGCAAGTGATTCATCAGGCGGGCAGTATACTCGATTGCCTCTCTTAATCTACAAAGAAATTATCATGCGGTCGATGAACTGTCTGAAAAAGTCTAAGTATTGTTGTAGTCGTTAATCACAGAACAAACAACATAAAACATCTCTAACAATTATTGTATTGTATTGTCTTATTATTATATTAAACTATTAAGGTGTCAAATATTTTCTTAAAGTCTAATGCAAACTATAGTAATAGGTTCATCTGTTCTCATGTATTTTCTTATATATTCCCATTCATCGGTCCCACAACTAGTTGTTGTGTTTCGGATTTCGACAAATAATACCTTTGGTTGAAATAGTGTAATAAACTTAAGAGGTGCAGAGTGCTGATACCTACATTTCAACAATCTGCATCTCGTAGACCTTAGATAAGAGATGTATTACACTATTGTGTCGGATCGGAAAAAATAGAGATTCATATCGTACAAGAATATGTAAAGTCGTAATAGAAAGGATGAAGAAATACTGTGAGTTTGTATTTGGTTTTTATATTTGTACCAATTTCAACTTTAAAATTAGACTATGTTTTAACCATTCAAAAGTATTACTTAGTTTTTTTTAATTATTATTAGTACTTAATAATTATCTTTATTATTCCTGATTTTTAAATCAGGAATACAATAAAAACGACGATTAAAAAATTGAATATTATAACTATACAAATTAGGATTATGGAACAAATTAGAATTGAGAATTAGGAAAACAACCAGAATGTTAATGGTTAACCTTCGCCTTATGAACGGATATCACGTTATCATGTGACATCCGTGATACCACCGCCTGCCTCTTGACCTGTAATTTAATTAAATTTATTTCAAGTGAAAAAACAGACAAACTTCTTGACGGCTGAAATAGATGAGAATGAGATTAACGCTCATGCAGACGTCTTTTTACATAGGTATACCTCGGATCCGTAACTTTTCAATCCATTAGACAATGAACGTTATTCCTTTCTCAATACAGGTCAGATGGGGCGCCTTGACATCGGCATCGAGTCACTACCATGTACCCGCTACAACTCGGTGTGCCAGGCCAATGTAATCTTACTGAGAAGGCTGGAACCAGGTCGCTATGTGGACTTCCGGTTATCAGTTCGGAACACCAGAGGAAGCTCGTCTCGGATAGCTTGCTCCGTCACTGGAACTAACGCTACGACGCCAAGAGATACTATTTTTCCTCATCAACCCAGTATCATATTGGTACCAGAGGTAATTTTGAAGTTTGTTCATATTAGTGTTATATATGCGAAAGGAGAAAGGGCAAGAGCGTGGGACAGGTTCTATACTTATATCTGAATTTAACATATCTATGTATGTAAACATGATGTTTGAGTTACCTATTAATAAAAAGTTTAAATTTCAAAATGTGTATTATCACATATGGAGCAGACTAATAATTGTGACCAACTGTGACAAGAGCGGGGAAGTGGACAAAGAAATCACGAAATACTTATCATTTAATTCACATAAATAAAGTGGACGAAGTCGCGGGCAGCGCCTATAAGAGTTCTGTTAGTAGAATATGACCAAACTGTTGATACAAAATTAAAAAGATTTCATTACTTACGTGGTCTGCTAGCTTCGCAATCGGTCTCAGATTCCTTGTAAATTGTAACGAAAAATAATAACTTTGTAAAACTTAATTTAATTTTTGTTTTAACGTCAAAAACATGTAGGTATATAGATAGGTATGAAATTAGTTTTTCTTTAAAGTATCACAATTTAAACAGTTTTAGTATAACTCTCTTGTACTTCTTTTCTTTAAACATATTAAATTATAATTGTATTATTTTTGCTTGAGACTAGGAAATCACATAATGTAACTAAGATATCATAAGTATGGATACACATATGGATGTAATCTGAAGTAAATAGAAAAAAAAAAAATTAAGTAATAATACTTAATTATTTATTTTTCTTATGTCGTGAGACATAAATTAAGAATAGAATAAAGTAAATATGTATAAATATAAGTGAAGTAACTAAATAAAGAAATATTAAATACTAAATTTAGAAAAAAAATATACAGGTACATTGTACGCATTATTAAGACATTTTGTAATGAGTTCTTGTTTGATAATTTTGTTTAATATTTCCGTCCTTTGATATCTTGACAACATTAATGCATTTACAAAAGGAAATTGAATTGAAGAAAATCTTTATACGAGATGTAACAGATAAGGGATAAAACAATAGAAAATTGTAAATTGTAAAAAAATGTTTTTATTTTTGTATTTTATTTTTTTATTGGGAACAAACATTATTTGATTTATTACTTTATTTTGAATATTTGCTTATTTAATAACATAAATATATAAATACGCAGCATTTGCATAATAAGTACTTATTAGATAAACATAACTATCTATAACAAACGATATATCTGGAAATTGAGTAAAATTACCAATTGAAAAAAAATGTGTCCATTGATATTGTGCAAAAAAATTCCCGCAAATTATTATAGAAAATAGAATCAAGGGTGAATACAGAATGAAGTAACAATATTATTATTCACAGGACGCAAAGCGCGGTACGGATCTCGAAATAGTGATTGCGCGGAAAAATCCACTTTCACCGAAGCCTTTAGAACTGGAGCTTTGGGTAAGTTATACATACAGGAAATAATATTATCATAGTATTATTTTAACTCTACTCCTTTACTAGTTTCAATATTATTCTTCTTTTTTGTACAATCATAATTGTCTGCTATCAAAAATAAAATATATCAGCGTACAGTTACCCTTTGTAGCTCCCAAGCTCTAACCCCAGCATAGCGTTCAAATCAGAATGACAACTTTGTGGGGTAATGTAATTTTCTAATTGACTCTACGGGGATGGAAGCTCCAAGAACAAATCAAATTTTTCCAAGAGACGGCGGCAGGTTTGTTCAATGCTACATTGGATTCATATACAGTAGAGACATTTGGCCATATCAAGTATTGTGTTCTTTCTCCATCTATCAAACACACTGTCTCTCAACTCGGTAACAACCGAGAATACACATAATGATATTATTCTTAGTATAGTTAAATTACAGTTGATTTTCTTTCTTTTCAATATACCATATATTGAAAAGAAAGAAAATCAACTCAATCAATTAATATTGAAACGAAATATTGTTCTTGAAAATTTTAAAGCGCTATAATTCATAAAAAATCCAATACACTCTAGATACTGCTGACTAACCCTTTCGTAACAAAGTCGTGAGTATACTCTTATCTTATACAAGATATAGAGTAATTTTATGATATTACAAAGTTACATCTAATAGAAATTCAACCGCTTCGTGTTCGACGTTTCGCTGTAACCACATAATAAAGTTGCTCCCATCTTAATAGGCCTCATTTAAGCTGCGATGTAACGTCGTACCTTAACGCCTCCGCTGTGTTCATTTTATAATTTGCGTGTCTTAACCCAACATTAGTGAACAACAGAACCGTAATTATTATTTCTTATCTAATTAAGCATCAAAATTGTATATCAGTAATAGACTAATTCATGATTTTTGTTCTAATTTACATACTGATTTGATTTATGTGGGTGTATTATACATTATTCAATAGGAATATAATTTAGAAGGATTGTAATATAATAAAACTGTTTTTGTATATTTACCCAGTGGCTGTACTCTCATAAATGCCAAACCGCCTACAAGTTTGCTTACTTACTAAAATAATAGAGAAAATAAGTACATGAAATTAATATAGATATAAAAATACCTAGAGGAATACAGACATTGTAACAAATACAAAATGTTTGACCATCAGAAGATGAAAAAGTGTTAAATAACTTATTTTCCAAAATTGTCATCTTTAAGCTGTACTATGATTATAAAAGGAAACTGGTTGTTTGTTTGGTTGCACGGGACAATCTAACTCCTGGTTTAAATTGAAAAAAAAACTTTGTACTGTTGGATAGCGCATTTATAGACCTAAGCAATATAAGATATAATACAAAAACATTTGTCCGTCATTGATGCGAGGAAAATGTCACTTAGATGAATTTGCGCGATTCAGCTTGTTCAAGAAGTTTAATGAAAACTCTTGAAATATACAAAGTAAGAGCACAGAATACAATGATAAGAATTATGCAGCAAGTTGGAGTCTGTCTGTCCAATGATGTTGCACAATTACCAAGCATTAAGAGGACTCGAGGCGTGTTAAATTTCTCACAGCCCATGTAGAGCCGGCACCCGTAACCCGAGGACGTTTTACCGGCCACTTAAATGCTGTAATAATGGAGAGCGTGTCCTTACTCGAACTGTAATTTGAAAGCGATCTTCTATTATGTGGGCAGAGTTAATTTTTTTTATATATTTTACAACAATTACTGGATCGTTTAAGAGAATATGGCGAAGGCTACACGCAATGTAATTATCATGATACAGTGTACTATACATATTGAGATCCGTCGATACTTCGATATAGTTTTTCAACAAATATCACGATATGCCCTAGATCACAATATTAATTGAATGTGTAAATTTCACCTTAACCTTAAGACTAGTAACGTCCTGTGAACACTGTTAACATTTTTTCTATTTCAGGGATCGCCGCTATTCGCAATTCGCCAACGTCGAGTATCCACAGAAAATACAGAGGGGACCATATTTTTAGTTGGACCTTTAGATTTTGAGGCCCAGTCTATGTACCACTTAACACTATTAGCTGTGGTGAGATTTTTTTTTAATGTAATTGGCATTCTTATGGTCGTACGTATATATAGTCAATGGTTACCATTGACTATACACATAACCTAAGGACATCAGGATGTCATGTGGAACCCACGAGGTATCGTGGGTTCCACATGTAGTTCTCTGAAATGGCAACGCATGATTGGTAAATCATGCGTTGCCATTCCAGAGAACTAAGATACGTCTTATTCTGTACTTTCACTGCCTAATCTGACCCTACAATCGAATCACATGTTACAAAGCAAACTGCTGGACACTTGTTATAAGTGAGACAAATACACCTACACACTTTTTACAGTCTACCAGGTAAAATGCGTGTTTTATAAATCAAATGACTTTAAACACAATCCTATTAACCCAGTTGTGATAATTACGATAACTCCTAACCATAATAAAAGACGGAACGCGGTCAAATGCCGTGAAGGAATATGTTATTTAAGAAATTGGTTTAAATATGGCCAGTAATGACCCTCTAAACTGTGTTAGCTTATTAAATATGAGGTGCTTGTTCCATATAAGACTTCTTAATTAATTTACGCACGCTTTTAATTACGACCCAATATCCAACGATTCTAATATGGAACAGACCTAAATATTTCGTAAATTATGCAGGATATTAATGAGAATCATAATATGCCTGTGAAGAGGTGATTTCCTAAGATATTTATTACGCTGTTGATTATAATTAAATAATGAACTAAAATTTCAATAACTTTCTTCTTTGAATAATTTTTAATTGCAAGCGTTACTTTTCTAAAGAAAACATTATCTCAAATTCATACGTTTGTTTGTCTGTCTGTTTATTACAGTTTGGCTGAATGGATCCTAAATAAAATTTGCTAGTAAGATGCCGGAAGGAAGCAAGTAGAGACTAGTAGATCATCATAACTTTATTTCAGTAGCTATGTTTGCTATTATACAAAGATAAAATTACTATGAGACTGTTTACATTCCATAAAATGCATATATTTTGCACTATTCCCATAGTGCAAAATATTTGAAATATTCAAAGTCTATGTATTTGAAGCATTTTAATTTACTTCTTATTTAAAGTAAATAACACCCTCAGCCTATTCATTTGAAGGTTTTAAAATTACTTGACCTATATCTTGTTTACTCTGAAATAATAATTGAATCCGAAAAAATAACACTGACTTAAATATTTATTCATTTACAGGATCCATATGTAGAATTGGGAAAAGATACGCGAAATATCGCTGGCTTAGAGGTTGTGCTGGTAGTTCAGGATATCCAGGACATGCCTCCAGTGTTCACAGTTGCACCTCCCATCACACACCTCCCGCAGCAAGTTGCACCTGGTGACACGGTGGTGAAAGTCCGCGCTGAGGATGGTGATAAAGGTGCCCCAAGACCGATCAGATACGGTTTAGTATCTGAGGGGAACCCGTTCACGCCGTTCTTTAACATCAATGAGACTACTGGTGAGTGAAATCATAATTTTTCTTGTAATAATAATACTGTAAAGACACCTCGTTATAAATCGCGGGCAGAAACAGTAGTAGTAATTATTATTCATGAACCTTAAAAAATTCAATGTAATTTTCAGTATTTCTATTTCAAATATTTCTTAGGGACAGTTAATTACTTTCATATATTGTGTTAGTCGTGTGTGTATATCGTTTATGCCTAATCTAACATATAAAATCCGCAAAAGATAGAACATTACGCGCTCGGTTTAAAGCTTACATTCGCTACGAGGTCAACAGTTCTTTATGTTTTACCTCCATTTATTAGGGTTTTACACTAAGTGACTACCTTAAACCCTTACTTTCCGACCCAAATGAGGGCAAACATTTGCGTACCCGCAAATTGTAAGCTTGCATTTTCCTGCTGTGAAAACGTTCAAAATTTATTCATGACATTTTTCATTGTAACTGTATGGTGGGTATCAAAAATTCTTGTTAGATAAAGCTTACACTACACTTTAAATAATTATTTAACATTTTGAAGTTGTTCGCTGTTTTGCTTTATTTATGTAAAATATAGACTACTCTCTTACAACATTTATTTATCGTCAATTTTCATTAAGATCCGTTCAGCCGTATAGTCAAGAAAATGTAACAAACAGACAGACAGACAACTTTACTTTCGCATTGGTGGCCTTCCTCATAGATATCAAATACTTTTCCCCATAAATTTCTGTCTGATTTTGAACCAAACTAATACGCTGTGCCTTGTAAATGCACTGGTCATTACGCGTTATCATCTATATATATTCAATAGGTCATTGCTTTTATAACGACTGGCTATTTTTCTGCTCATTTTACGTACGTATTCACAAATACCTTCGACCCCAAACAACTAAGGAAATTGTTACGGTAGCGTGTTGTAGTAATTATTAAAAGAACACCCATAAATCTTATTAGTCCATTATGAGCTTTCCCTGTTTGTGTAGTTACGATTACCTACCAGCATTCTATATGTTACTAATAGCTAGTTGACATGATAGAAAATAAACAGTTTAATGAATATATAATTTTCAAAAGATGAGAGGTTAAGTAACTGGACTAACTGACCTGTACCATACAGGTCAATCAATCCAGTTTAGTTTAAGTTAAATTACTGTTACTGGAGCGGGAACACAACTACTATTTTAATAAAAACCAAATACCAGTAAAAATGTGTATTCTTCCCAAAAAAGGCTCACAACAAGAAGGAACAAAACAATATATAGTTAGTCAAAATTGACGTATAAAAAATATAAAGTTTATAAAAAGAATGGTAGACAAGCTGCCAGTAACAGTTACTGATAATTTAATGGCGCACCCACCTGCACTGAAGCATCCACCACAACATGAGGTCAGGTCAGTTAGCCCATCATGGTTAATTCACTATGAATTTATCGATGGTTTTCAGGGGTATCACATGGAGGTCAACTTGATATGGTACATTGCTAGCAATGGGGGTTATTTGTCCACATTACTAACCATCCGCTTCCCCCTATAATAAGGCGCCAAAAATTTACATGCACATTATGATATATTTAACCCATACTTGTATCTATAACAATAGCACTTTGCTGTATAAGTACGTGTATTCTAAGAATAGTTGAGTTTTTAATGTCTACCTATTTGTGTTAAACAGTTTATTGCTATTTTCTGAACATTTCCACATAAACACGACGAGGTCAGAGCACCTTTTTTTATTCGATAAAATCTCAACGTCCGTCCGTGGCTTCCGTAGGATATCCTAGTTCCTTATCGCCAACCGACACTCCTAGACTTCCCTGACTAAGCCATGGCCTACTTTAGAATGAACGGTCTGTTAATGAATTTAAAATTATAGTTCAACTTTTAAGCATGTTGGTTCTTCTAATATGAAATTAAATTATAAAAAGCGACATGCTTAAAAGTTGAATATCTGACGTTAATTGAAGTTAAATATCTATTAATAGTAGTACAATTTTATGATATTTTTTTTACACATTAAGCATCGGGGCACACATTTTATTAACCCGTCTTAGTAATTCCGTGCGATTTGTTTCTAAATTTCTACCTTCATCATAATCATGGAAAATGATAATCAGCCATTAATCCATCGTGTAAATTTAACGATGGTATCTGACCTAATTTTATACCACATTAAAACTACCTGTGTAAAGTTTACAAGCATTTCCGCCCAACTTATACAAACTTTTCTCATTTACTACAATAATTTAACACAGCAATTAAAACAACGTTCTGACTTTTCCTCGTGCGCAATATTTACAATTGCTAATAATAAAGCTTTTGTGTCGCGAGAAATGTTCATAATAAGGTACTAGGGTTGCCGTAATGCTGATATAGGCAACATACAAAGGCACAGAACCTAGCATTTTATGGTTCAAGTATGTTACTGGACATTTTATTTCACGGTTAGGAATTACAGATTGACTTATTTTATTATATAACGCTGGACGCTATATTTAGTATATATCTTACCTATATATAATATTAAACATTGATAAAGCTGTCTTTTCACTGATTAAAATATTTGATAGCATTACTTAAATTCAAAGGTTGAGAGTTCTTTATTTTTATTCTATATATTTCACTCATATCTTTGAAAGATAACAGAGTTAGAAGACTTACAAGTCAATGTTCGTTATCAGATTAATAATTTCTAGACCATTCCAATTACTATTATGATGTCAACCCTAAGATACGATACGATGCCAATGGTGCAAGCTCGTGTTGTGCTAACCGCCACATAATAGCTCATTAGGCCAACCCGTCGCTGTCTCACTTCAGCTACCATTGTTTGTAAAGCTGCCCTGCCTTCATAATAAAGCAGCACTTCCTTTGAATAGCCTGGCGGTAGCTGACAATGGTCTCGACTTGTTCCGACATTATCAGTTCGTTTAACTATCGCCCGCGAATTCAAAAGAACCGTTAAAACTTAGAGCCTGAACACATAGAACATGAATAATTTATCGATAACCAAGTACTAGTAATAGTAAGTACTAATAATATAATAATGGTAAAGTACCGATATACTATCAATCAGCCTGTTCTTCTCACAGGGGTATATATGGTATAAGTACAAATATCTAAACCTTCTGGAAAGAATTTTCTGATTATAGTAATATCTTATAAAAATTTGGTGCGAGATTTATAATACATAAGAGGAGAAACAAATAGTTTAATACACTGACTTTGCTTTAAACCATTGGAAGCTTGTAGGATTGTTAAATGAAGAGAATTGCATTGAAGTATAGCGGACACGATAGAAAGAAATTGATATTCATCGGACTACCTTAATAACTGTTGACTAAATTGTCATCCGTTGTTAAGTTAGTCCGTCCATTGCTATTTATTCCTATTAGAAATTTGCTTTATTATTAGAAAATCAATCTATTATTTTCTATACGATATAGGAAATAATTTCCAAGTATTAATTTTAAGTTTCTTTATTCGCGGCATTTCATAGGAATTATTGTAGAGTTTTATAGGAAGTAACGTTGTAAGTAGTAATAAGGTTTTGTAATGATTTTCCTCAAAAATTGAAGTAAAGAATACAAACATGTATTATATATACCGAAATAGAAGTCCACGGCCTCGTTACTTTAAAAATAACTCGGGTGTTATTTACACTATCAATATTAATTGACCCATAATAGTTTTATTTCGGCTTACCACAAAATTACTATACTATTGCCATTCATGAGATCTATACTACGGATAAAGAAAACTATGTAATATTCTCTTATTTGTGAGTAGACTAAACCTTATTTGTTTTCAATTTTCTAGCATCTTATGTACAAAGCTCCTAAGAGTTCCAATATTAATTTGCATAGTCGTAAATTTATCGCATTGATCGGACGCTTTGGAAGAACTTGTGAATACTAGAGGTACCAAGTTGAATGCCGAAGTTCGTAATCGGAAGACCTACCAATTATGAGATGCGTATAAATTATAGAAAGGAACTTTAATGATCAAACTTCGAGAAGACTTCTGCTATGAAGACGACCTAGAGGCCTCTAGGTGTTATAATTTATAGAGATATTTGGCGGTGGGATTGCTCCTCATCGAAATACCAAAGTTGTGTAGTACATATCTAATAAACATTCTGTTCCACAAAAACAAGAAACCAATCTATGGCTTAAGTTATACACAAATTCAATGTAAATATCATTTAAAGATTATAGCCTTATGATTAGTATTCCTATTATTTCAATATATGCTGAGACACTTAGAAAGAGAACTTATGAATAGCCTTCTAAATACAATCTTTTAAAATAAATCAAACTATATTAAAAGCATGGTAATGTTAAAGAAAGTTGTACTTTTAAAGGTCTATTTGAAAGAAAATGTCATAATATTATGAAGTGCATTATGCCATACCTACAACTACATCCGACATGCACGATCGGCTTAATTATGAAATATTAATGAGTCTCTTATTTACGCCTCGTCACTACGACATATGATTACGGAGCGTACATAGTTAACTACTTTTGTATGGTAATTAACAGCCACATTTTTGTCTTGACATGGACTTGACATAATGAAAGTTTAACAGAGATTCAATCTTATTATGTGGGTAGATAATTAAGTCAGTTATTATACTGTGGCACTCAGTCTGACGCACTTAGAGAGCAATGCTTATGCTCAACTCACACTTGACTGACAAATATGACTATTAATATGGGTAACAATAGGGGGGTTATATAATGTTGTTTTTTAATTCCTTATTGTTACCCGCCACGGTGGACGGTGACGTAATAAGAATATATTGTGTCACTACTCAGGATGTAGTAAAAGAAACATTCAAATAAAAACATATTTTGTTTTTAGTCCAATGTTTTTTTACTAGTTAGGTATATTGATGATAAACAAACAAAAACTAGAAATATAACCCTATGTCAAGATGAGGAATGTTATCACAAAATTATCAGAAATAAATTTAAAAGCGGATTTAGATAATTTCAATTAGACTAGTAGTTATTAAATTTAATTTGTATACACTGACATCTAACGACTTCTCTTGTAATGTATAACTATTTCAGTGAGCAATTTTTGACAGTCAATACAATTAATGTTCGCAGTTGTCAAGAGATGGCGCTAAGCCATTTTATTCTTTTCATTTATTGTAGTGCATCAAAATACATATTTATGTTAATTAATTTCTATTTAGTTCTTTAGAATTGTAATAACTGTAATATGTTATTTAATAATAATTTCAATTTTTTTAGCTGAAGGTCGCTAGTAGTGTCTGATGTAGGTACATCTATATCTACTAAGCATTTTTGACACGAAACATAGGTACGTGGTTAATTTTGATTCTGACTTCGTTACGACCACGTATAAATAAACACATATTAGTATATAACGTTACCTGGTTCGATCATTTTTGTAAAAGATTAAAATATCACGGCGAAAATTTTAAGGTTGCCAATCTTCAATCAGCAGTCTTCTATAAATGTAATATTTATTTTATAGGACCCATTTTAAATTTTACAAAACTGTACTTAATACAATAAGAAATATTATTTTTTCTAGGTGAAGTAACTCTTGAACGGCCTATAGAAGAAATCGCAGCTATATCTCATGCTGGTGCTCCCATACTCCTCACGGTTGTTGCGGAGGAGGTGCGACTATCGAGAGAGGAACCTGAAGCTATGTCTTCTACCGTTCAACTCGCCTTCATTTTACCTGAAAGGGAGAATTCACCACCGTACTTTGAAAATCAATTGTAAGTATATATAATAGTATAGTTTTCAAAGTAGTTCATAGAGAGTAGTACTCAAACATATGTTTTTTAAATAACATTAAAGTGCTCAGTTAATCGCCTGTGTTAAACTTTGACTAACTAAATTAATTATTTTCTGATACTATATATTAATATTATAAGTTTATTATGTACTATGCTATCTACTATAGTAGTCATAGTACTTCTTTTTTATGTAATTGGAATGGTAAGCAGTCCACCTGATAGCCGTTGCCTTTATACATGAATAGCACTACGGGTATTATAACGTAATGCCTTCTATTCAATTTCAATAATAGTGTAGGTACCTATATCATACGACACCCGTGATTCTACTCATGCGTTGCTATTCACATGACTAAGATGTTATGCATCTTATCCTGTTTGAATTATTACACATTAGCATGATACGGGTAGATGTAGTGTGCCCAACTAAAATTGTTTGTTAATTATAATATTTTAGCGCTCCTATTTTTAAACTTTCAGCTACATCACTTATTTGGATGAAAATGCACTCCAAGGCACTGCATTAACCTTCAATGACCCTTATATCCCGCAAGTGAATGATAATGATGCAGGCAAGAACGGTGTCTTCTCTCTCAGTCTTGTAGGAAATAATGGAACATTTGAGATATCGCCAACGGTAGCTGAGAGACATGCTCAATTCATCATCAAAGTGCGGGATAATACTATGTTGGACTTTGAAGCTCGCAAATCTGTGATATTTCAGGTACATTTTTTTTGCAAATTATGTAACAATACTGAAATATATATCAAAATATATATAATAGCGCGAAAAGCGATCTCACAGATAATAGATGAATGTCTAAATACTAAACGGGAACATTTTACAGATGATTTTCTTTTGCAATAAAGTCATGCAACGAATATTACATTGCTCTTGGTTTTAGTTATTCTAATTGTGTTTTTAAAGTGAATACACTTTTTGGTTTTTTATCATGTACCTATATTCTTATTAGAAAGTACAAGAATAGATTATATTGAAATGCAGTCCTAAATCCAGGACTGGATTTTTAAATAGGCCATATAGCCCCCGGCCTAGGGGCGGCAAATTTCAAAGAATAAAAGTCAAACACTTTCACTTGTTTTCTCATCGTTTTTTATACTTTAAATAAATCCCTATAGAAACTCATTCCTATCGAAACCAATATTATCGCGTGAGTTATAGATGAGAGCAGTTTATTTAACTTTTCCTTTCTTTACTACAAATGGAAAATTATTGTTTTAGAAAGGTATGTACATGGGGCGGCGGAAATAAATTAGCCTATACTCATAAAAATATAAATCCTTCACTGTTGAAATGTATATTTACAAATAACTACGCCCATTCAGTCTATATGTTTTGACATAGAGCATTACAGCTCACGTAACAAGTGAATGTTGCCCTTTGAACTCAAAATGAGAGCTCTCAGTGAATAATTACATAAATTTTAGTATACATGTATTGCTTTAGATAAATATTTATTCATTAATATCCAGCACCATAGCATGTTAAACGAACTTTCAGGTTAAGAGTCTATTGTATACTAAACAAATGAAAACGTATTGCCTACCGCTACAATATAATGTGCATATGTAATTTAATGGACCGTTTATGTGGTACCTATATACGACTGGTAACAATGCTGAATTCATTTGCAATCAAATGTACACGATGCTAACACAACATGTTAATTATTACTTTAAAATAACTTGTATGATTATGTAAAGTTTATAGGATGTTCCTAGTTCTTTCATTTCTTTCAGTCCACTACTATCATGATAGTTCTCACTGTAAAGCTTATGTTTTGTTAATTTTATTTTATTATATTGAAAAATCGGTAATTTTATGTATGTGTGTATTAAATCTTTATTTATTTCACACTTCACTTTATTTATACCCCCAAATTTACGAAACTTATATATTCAACCATATTCGTTATTTATTTTCAGATATTAGCTCAAGAACTTGGGCCAGCAACAAATCTCTCCGCAGTGGCTAACGTTACCGTTTATCTTAATGATGTGAACGATAATGCCCCAGTATTTTTAGCTCAATCTTATGATGTGGAACTTTACGAAAACGTTACTGCTGGTACTAGAGTAACACAAGTTGCCGCAGATGACGTCGATACGGGAATATTTGGAAAAATCCAATACACTGCTATATTAGGATATCTAAATACATCGTTATATTTAGATCCAACGACAGGGATAATTACTATAGCAACAAATAATCACGGCTTCGACCGTGAGGCGATGCCAGATTTGCATTTTTTAGTAGAGGCTAGAGATGAGGACGGCGTAGGTTTAAGAGTCACAGTGCCATTAATTATTAAGTTATTAGATGTAAATGATAACCCACCAGAATTTGAAAGGTCTCTATATGAGTTTGTATTATCGCCAAGTTTGAATAATTTTACTTCAGCGGCTTTTGTGAAAGCAATTGATAAAGACGCAGAACCACCAAATAATGTAGTCAAATATGAAATTATACAAGGAAACTCGGAAGGAAAGTTTGCAATAAATGAAGAAACAGGTAATTAATAACACATGTAATCAATATAAATATAGCTTCTTTTTATAAAGTATCAAAAGTATTCATAAATACTATATCATATACTTAAATTAAACCCTACTTATTATATTTTAGGTGAGCTATATCTTCTACAAACATTAAAAAGAACAAAGAAACATAATATGCATAGACGGAAGCGCCAATATGAACCACAACAAGATGACGATATTTTCATTTTAACTATTAGAGCACATGATCTTGGTGAGCCAATGATGTACTCTACTACAATGGTAAAAATATATCCACCAGAGAGCAAAACAAGAACAATGTCGTTCATAGTTCCTGGAGTAAATCCAGACAGAAGGAAGCTAGAGGAGGTGCTTAGTACACTTTCTGGCGGAAAAGTTACTATAATTGAGATTAAGCCCTATATGGGTAAAGATAATGGTGCGACCGATTTGAATGGCCAAGAGTCTAGTCAAACCAAGTAAGTAAAAATATAAGAAAATATCGCTTAGATATAGATATAGTACTATATATATATATATATATATATATATATATAGAAACTATTGTATAAACGTTAATAAGTAATTAAAAGATAAAAACGATTTTTAGTTTATTTTACAATAATTTACATTGAATAATTAATTTTATTATATTTTAGGAGTGAAGTAATAGCCGTAGTGCGTATGACCGAAAATACGTCTATAAACGTTGCAAAACTCCAAGAACAACTGGCAAAAAATGTAACTATATATACTACTGGTAGTAGTATAAATTCCAACGAAGCGTCATCTCCTACTGGATCGGGAACTGTCGCTGTTGCAATCCCTGGGGGTGGAACTGTTTCTGGGGGTTCAACTGGTATTACATCCAATACTAATTCTGGGACTGGCAATCCACAAACAAATTCTGGAACTGACAACACACAAACAAATTCTGGAACAATTGTTGGACAAACAGACCATGCATCTACTGCTGATAATGGCGATTCTGTAAGTATAATAGAGGTTTTAACCAATTTTAGTATTAATATAGTCCTTTACCTGTCATATCTGATATATTATAATAATTTTAAAAATATACATCATTTTCAACAGTTTTAATATAAATATAAAGTGTAATGCTACAATTTTTTTTTATCAATTTCAGGGTCTGTACAGAGCTGAAAGTCGTCTGTTGTTCTGGCTCTTGATACTTCTTGCCATATTAGTAGCTTTAATATTACTTTTGTTAATATGCTGCTGTATTTGTGAAGGGTGTCCTCTTTATATGCCTCCAAGGTAATTTGATATTATACTTATTAAAATTGCACTGTTGTTGTTAGTTTATTTTGTACATAATAGAATACTGAAAAGAGTTTTATGAGTTACAAATACCTTTATTTAATTGAAATTTCAATTATCGTGTAATATAATTAAGAAATTAAATAAGTACTAAGTAAATACAGTTTTATACACTTTAGATACACCAAGTTTATACCTTACCAAAACATATAATCTTGTGTTTACTTAGTTTAATTAAGTTGTTTTCTTAATTTAAAATAATGCACCATCGATATCTAATAATATTTTTTTATTGGTAAAATATATTTATTGATTCTTTATTATTATTAAATAATATACTAGAGTACCACAAAAATCACATCTAGTTCGGTTCGTTATGATATTAAATATTTATATATTCTTATTCATAAAATTTTCACTCAACATTTGGTTTTATCTGTTAGAAATAAATTTTTCTATTAATTTTCTGTGTTTCATCATTAACAGACTTAAATGCACCAACTAAAACACTCACGTGCATGTTTACACCTCGGCTTTGCTACTTTTGGGTAATTATTTTCAGATTATTTCTTTTACCTACTTTCACTTCAACACGTCCATATTTTTTTTAATTTTTAAACTCTCACTCTCTCTCACTATCTCACCAATCATTCTAACAATACTAAATGCATGTATTCAAACATACATAATTTATATCCCTTTATCACCGAATTAATTTATTCCTATTCATATATTCATCATTACATTATTAAGTGTAACTGAACAGCTTAGGTACATAGATATCCATTAATAAATTCTAGGAAAAGAGTGATACGTGTCAACTCCACAGAGGACGACGTGCATTTAGTGGTCCGGGACAAGGGACTTGGGAGGGAAAACAAGTCGACGCAAAATTTAGAAAATAAATCTATACAAGCAACCGAATGGAGGAGACGGGAGGCTTGGAGCGCAGAGCAAGCAGACTTGAGAACAAAGCCAACACAATGGAAATTCAATAAGAGAAACTACAGATCAAAAGAACCTTCTAAACCTGCTTCAACACCTGGCGATATACATCAGGAGTTTATTCATGCTGCTGAAGATAACGATTATCGATATAATAATGCTAGACAGTCCTTTCGAATGAGGTATGTTATAATGAAATATGAATTTATAAATACAACACAGATTCAGAAATACATCTTATACTCTTGATAGTCTCACTTTCTGCTTTGAATTTATTTTTGATTATACTTATTTAATACTAGATGACCCACGCAACTCCGTGAGCATCCTATCTCCCCTTATTTTTAACATTTTTCGGATTCACTCCTATCTACAACGACTATCCGTCACTAAAACAAGTTTCAAAATGAATCAGTTTTACTAGAGATTAGAACATCCAAACTCACAAACATTACCTATTTATAATGTTATTAGTATACATAGCACACATACATAAAAAATATTTAGAAAATAAACTTTACTGTAATATTGATATAATAATAATTTCTATAGACTTTTTTAATATCACATAGAGACTGTTGTATAGTTATAGTATCAAATAAAATTGCCTATATATTTGTCCTATTTCTGGACGTTAAGATCCTTGTGTGGATTTATATTTGTATATATTTTTGTTACAGAGAAGGTCCAAACGTAATCTATACAAAGGAAATGCAACTTCAAGAAGCCTTTGCTAATAAACACAAAGAATATATTGAAGATTTAGAAAATGGCTATGACAGAATCGCCACTTTACATTATCAAAGAAGAGAGCAGGATAATGACTCTATACGTAGACACGAAATAGATCGGGGTTCAGATGTTGGCGTTTTCCTCAAGTCTGATGTTGAAAACGATAAGGTAGACAATAGAACAAAATTAGAATTTCAAGATAAAGTACATGCTCAAACGTCCCTCGGTAGAGATCAATATTTTATTAAAGATGGCAATACCGAAATTCTAAGACTTGTAACAAGAGGAAAGAACGAAGAAGAAAGATATGTGAACCTTCCCTTACATCAACAAAGACCAGTGACCCTCATACCACACACTCAATATGTTGTAGTTGATAGTGGTAAAGATCTACTTATGGAAAGGTTTATTAGAGAACAAGGTGAAGAGGCAAAACATATAAGAGAAAGAATGGACAGAATTACCACTGATTTAGATAATGTCACAGGTGATAAGGAAGCTAAAATTCTCCTACAAAGGTCACACGGAATTGATGCACAATCGCAATATCACGATTATTCTAATGTACCACCAGAGGTACCTGGAGCAATACCTTTAAAAACTGCTTATTTACAATCTGCTTTAATAGAAATGCAAAATAAGTCGTCAATTCATCAAGAACTTCTAGAATCATCTTTAAGAAAACAAAATGAACTATTACATCAAATACTTATTGAACGCGAGAGATTATTGCAAAATCACGAGACTGCATCTCAAGTAGAGAGCAAGTTAGAAACTCAAAGCTTACCTGGCCATTCAGTGATGGCCACTCAGACAGAATGTCATATTGGTACACAAACAGAACCTCAACTACTTAAGCCTACACGAAGAAAAGCCAGAAGTGACAACGACTCATATAGTGAAGATGATTCACAAATGGTAGTAGAAGATGAAACCAAGAAAGTTGCATGGGTAAAAAGAAAAAAACCGAAGAAAAAAATTAAATACAAAGATCCTAGACGAAGTATTAGAGTATATGATTTAAAGCGAAAGATTAAAACTCCTATTATCGAGGAAAGCGAAGTGTCTCCATCTTTGGAGAGTGAGAAACATGTAAAAATAAGTAAAACTAATGAACGGGAAGAGCATGTAAAAAAATATGGAGATAGAACTAAAAGTACAGTAACGACATCCAAGAATGAAACGGTATGTTCAACTCAAATCAAATTATCTGATAGTGATAAACAATGTAAAATAAGAAAAGAGGTCCTAATGGAAATATCAGATTCTCTAGATGAAAAAGTTGATTCCGAAACAAGTGATAGACGATTAAGACTTCAAAGGCAATCTCCGATAGAAGACGACCTTTCTCCAAAACGCACTCTTGCACTTGAACATGAAAGTAGTAAAGAAAGCGAACAAAGAAGTAGAACTAGTTCCGCATCAAAAGATAATCGCAATTTAATATTTTCACGGCAAGGTTCCTCTACGGAAGCTCGAGAACTTGCAGAACCACCAATCAAATCGCCAGTCACTGAAGAATTTGTAATTAATCACAAAATAGACAGTAATGGTGAATCTAGTAATAAGAAGAATGATGAAGGAAATGAATCAACAAAATCGTCAGATGTTGGTAAGCCTACACAAAAAAGCTTACCAAGATACATGCAATGGTACGGTAAGAAATCTTCAAATACAGTTACTAAACCACCATTAGAAAAAGCTATCCCAAGTAAGCCTAAACGACCTTCCAAATCAAAGATCGAAGTAGATAAAAACATTCCAAAGGAAGAGAAAACTGGAAAATACGGAAAAATCATTAGTAAAGACAGTCAAAATGACAATGCTGAGGCAAAAAAAAACTCCAAAGGAAAAGACGGTGAATTTATTCATCCTCGACTACTAAAAGAGGAGAAAGTAACACCTGTTCCTGAAGGACCACTACCTGACGTTCATCCTTTACTACAGCATTCTGAACACAGATACGAACATCAATACGAAAACCAAAATCCTTTATGTTATATACAACCTACCCATATTCCGAAATATCTAGGCAGTCAGCCCAATATAGCTCGTAGACAGTCAATAGAACAGCAGCCAATTTATGTAAATCAAGATGACGTGAAGAAAAAAGAAGCAAAACAAGATATTTCAGAAAGTGCGCTTACACATAGCATTTCAATTTCAACTAGCTACGAAGAAGATAAAAAGAATGCTCCAGAAGTTCATGTTTCAAAAATAAATATTGGAGGAGATAGTGTGGTTGAAATGAGACCTGTTGGCAAAACGGACGATAATGATTCTGGTATTGCAATGAATACTCTCGTTCAACAGACAGGTAATATAAAAAGATTACCAATAACCGAAAAGAAGAGCATATTCACTATAGCATACGATGACGTTCAAACAAAACAATTGAGACCTGACAGTAGTTCAACATCATATTGAGATAACATATTATTGTAATCGTTGTTGAGTGCCTTATTATTGTGAATATTATTTTTGACTATTAATCAAATATGTGATTACCTATGTCATTCGTTCCGTCCAGTATTTTGATATTAATCGACTGTATGTAAATAAATAGATAATTATAATGAATTGATAAACAACTGCCTTTATTTGATGACTGGTATTAATAATTGTAAAAGTATTCATTTTATGTAAATAAAAACAAGTTGAAATTAGTTATAGGCAAAATAATATTATTTAAATTAATTTAAGCTTTAATAATAACTGTAAATATTTTTTATTGATCACACTTTGCATGCTGTTACAGTATGCTATTATATATTTGTTATAAAATATAAAATTATATATTATACTTATTAAGAAGATTTTTCATTTCGCCCTGTATGTATCTATTATACGATACAATTACCGTCATTATTATCATAGGAAGAGTTTTATGTTATCAATGATTATCTAATAATCGCCTCTGATCGACTTACGCGCCCCGATCCACTCTAACGTCGATAGAAATTAAAATGGCTTGAGCCGAGCCGAAGTAAGTTGCAAAAATCGTAATGTTAATGTTAATAGTGTTTTAAATTGCAAATTCCATAATCAACGACGGCCACAATTGAAATGTAGTATTTCAATCGTTATTATAATATTTTCAAACAATCGATGCAAAAATAAAGAGTACATGTCCAGGAACTACGGCGCAGACTCAAAAATTGCTCAGACATAAAGCCCGTGAGGTGTTTTTATGATATTGATAAACTAATAAATTCTATTTATACTCAGAATCATTAAAAATCATCTTTACATTAATCAGTTAAATCCGCAATCCCAACAAAAAAATCATTGGATGCATCTCTCAAACTTTTGGAATCCGTTGTACAACATTAACAACACGGTAATGTTTTAACTTTTTTACTTTTTGCTCTATGTCTCCTTAGTTACTTTTCATTCCAAGCCGCACAGCGGCAGCAATCTTTATTTTAAACTACTAGGACAACATAAGTTACGAAAGGTTGAAATCGTTACAGCAGCATAAGACCAAGTAAACGACTCTGATCACTGCTATACAGTTTTAACGCAAAGCATATCAGTATGGTGGAGGAAAGTTTTAGTCGTAGTAGTAGTAGTACGCATTCACAAAAAATTAACGAAGTATCTTTTGCAGTAATAACAGATGCTGTTAGCACGTTTCCTACATAAAACATGTAAAATAAAAAAAGAGTACTATGACTAGTGTTATACGACTGATTAAATTGTAGCAATTGTAGTAATATTACACAGTCTTCTCTACTCACCGATTTTTATGCATGAAAATTAAGAATGTTTCTATCAAATAAAATAAACATCTATTCAAAGATTGCATAAAATCAAGAATCTATACGACACTCATTCAACAAATATACACTAAATATATTATTACTAAAAGATGGTGTTATACAAAATTAAAACGCGAAATTTATAAAGTAAATAAACGAATAAGAAGAAATGAATATGACTCATTCACACATGTATGTGTCACATATGCATAATCAAAAATGGCGATAAAATCTTTAGACAACATAAACCCACACTTTGTTTGTCAATAATTCACAATGAGGCAAAGTTCCGTTGAACAGTAGACTTTATTTTAAAATACCAGGAGAGCATATAGAACTAGGAGATATAAATAGATTAATACTCGGTAGCTGTTGCTTTTATCGTGTGGAAGTTAAGTATTCAAGAACTAGATGTCAGTGTGGTCTATATTTTCTGTAAGAAACAAACGACATTCTTTTAATCTCCATAGTAGTTTCTAGATGTCGTTATTAGTTAATATATACGATCAGAAAAATATATTGGTTAATTGAGAAAAAAACTATCGTTTTATTAAATTTTATGAAATTAACTCTTACAATGTACAGAAACCAAAATATAAATTCGGTAATAACATTTATAATAAAAGTGCCATCTAGCGGAGACGCGCATTAACAAATGTTTCCAAGAATAGCACCTTTGAAATTTTTTGCAAGAATTTATTTTAACCAGAGATGACTCTGTATGCGTCTAAGTGATTTCGTCATATCACAATTAAATTAAAAAACATTATTAGAATAGCAGAGAATATTTCAAAATCCAAATTGAACATTCTTGAAACAATTTTTAAATATTTTATACAACTGCTCTGTTGCTTGGTCGATGTACATATATCACATTTAAAATGTTTGAAATATATATACGTTGTTTCAATTTTCTGTTTTGGTTGTTTCAATAATAATTGTTGTTTATTGTCAGAGGTGTTATTACTTCAGACACCCATTATAACTCTATAGTCAATATCTCTAATTTTAAAGCCTTGCTATGTCTTCTAGGACGATTTAAGTTTCAAACAGTATATAATTAGCAACAATTAAACAAAACACAGTTATTTTCTAATCCACATTATCAATTCTGCATTGCTCCTACCTAGAGCAATCTTTTCAGTCGTATACAGTTCATTGTTTCATCTCAAGCAGCTCTCAATCATTCGCATGAGTTACTTCATTCAGCTCATTTGCACAGACGAGTCGCGCGGAAAATTATTTCTTTTCATATCCCCATTTTTCACGTCTTACTTAAAGTTTACCACCCACCGGGGAGTTTACAATTCATCTGTTTATTTTTCTTTTTCCCCTTGTACCGAATTTTTTACTTTCGAATTGTGTTTATTTTATATTTCTAATAAATTAAATGAACGGTGGCAAATTAGGTACCTAGTAACAAAGAATAAATAGCATTCAGTTAGAGATATAGGTAAGCAGTTAGGAATTTGATACTTAAAGAAGACAAAAATGTATCGAATACGTCTATTAGGCTCCGAAGTCGACTTTATTATGTAAACGTATTAAATTAAAAAATATATATTAATTATTCGAATTAAAGTATTTTTTTAAATGAAATACTTTTCTGAAATATCCATATCTCTGGATCTGGATGTACGTAGTATAAATTCGAATAGGCAAGATATACCATACAGATTTTCCAAAAAAAATATTTGATTGATATGGTAAATTGCTTCAAGAAAGCCGTATGAAAGAACAACTAGTAAAATTCTCTGTGAGAAATTGTAATTTAAATAAAAAGGTCCGCAACTTTTTAAAATCTCACATCATAAGAACAAGACATACCGGGTACTAAGGCGACAGAAGCAAGCATGAGGTATGGAAATTGCACTTTCCAGCGGCAACTTGCTTTCACGGACCACTGGTCTGATCATAATAAAAACTCGCGCCGTCGCCTCCGCGCTAAGTTTGACCATAAATTCGGTGGCCGAATGGCTACCCGCTCGCCGACGGCGAAATTCCACGACGTAACAATGTGACCAAGTATCGTTCTTTTTTTAGGATATTTAAAATGAATCTTACAACAGATTAAGGAATATTAGATGTTATAACGTAGCACAATTTCATGTAAGTTTTAAATTACCTACAAATATCTTAAATAAAATTAAGATTATGTCACTCATTGTCATATAACCAGACTCATTTCAAGCCCTATCTTTGGTAGTGTCTGTAGTAATAATAGTATAAGTCAGATTATATAGGTACATATATAATGTATTCAGAATTTAATATGTAAAATGTGCATTGGTTCTGTAACATAGGGAAGCTGGTATGAAAATCTATGGTATTTTGTAGCAGTGGTATAGACGTTTTGTCCTACTGGAGTTTATTTATTACTGTAGGTAATAATTATACAATTATGTTATTAATTAATTATACAAATTGTTATATTTGTGGTTAGTAATTTATAAATAATAATTATTTCTTATTCTTATTATGACATAATTAGTCAATTATTTGTTTATTGCTTTTTCTTTCATAAGAATCCGCGACTATGTAAACATCTATACAAACGTTTAACTGATAGTGAACATGTCATTACAATTTTATCTATATATATATAATCTAAGATCTAATTAACGAAAGGTCAACTTTAAATTTTAATAGAACATCATTATCAAAAGTGTTCACAATGAAACAACATTTTTTTTTGTCTCATATCCTATAATAATGTAGTGATTTGGTAACACTACTCCCGACCCCAGCCAGATCTGCTTTTAATATAATAATAAATATCAGTATACACTACTTTTTAGGATTTTTCCTTTGTTTTCCCGGAGGGTGATCCCATTAAAAAGGTAGGGTGGTATTTTATGCGATTTTAAGTATGTAACGGCTCGAATGTCCGTTATATTATTGCATAAATTGCTAAGTTGATACTTATGGATTCCTGGTAATGTCCATGAAATTGCTGTTAAAGGTCACATGAAAATTTTCAGTTCGCGGTCTAATTTTTTAACAGTGCTTCCAATTTAAAAAAAATATTATCTATTAAGTTACAATTTAACGGGAATAATAAATACCATTTCGACTATGATTCTCAGATTGTAACCCAACACTTTACATGCTTATATTTCTTTCTGTATATTTGAATCCAACGTGGCATAGAGTGAGCCTATAAGTCTTTTGTCGTTATTTAATTTTTTTATAAGAGTTACTGTCACCAGAAAGTTAGTCAGAAATAAAAAATGAAAAACAATGTTTTTGGTGTCGAAGTCGGATTACTACCGAAATCCGTAGACCACGGCACTACCTTAATTTTGTATTTCAATTAGGGTTTAATCACTAATGCTAATGAGATGAATTAAATGCCTATAGTACTCACAAATGTAATACAGATGAATGTACTTTATAGTTATGGATTTGCTAAATATTGTTATTCAGATATTACTGCATAATTAGACCTCGTCACTTGGCTTTGGCATTTAAAATGGACGAAATAAAAGAGATATACCTAAAACATTAACAACAATTTGTAAACATTCTTCAAAATTTCTCTAACAGTGTTCAGCCAAACTACTATTTGAAGATACATGTATAATATGTATATATATTACATGAGACTATATCCATCTGATGGTAATGATTGCTGTATCTGTATCGTATTCATTATAGTTTAATTTGTATATAATCATGAGTTTATACATTTACATATATACATATATTTATTTATGCAAATGTATAAACTTTATTTATGTATTTTTATATCTACATCTAATATTTATATCTAATAGATGTTACTATTATTAAATTACACAGCCTCACTATCTCTGAACAACGCGACGGTTGATTGCTAGAGAATGTCATCCCGCATTAAGTCCGCCATACAATTTTATGTGCAAAATAATAAATAAATAAATATATAAAATTTTGAATATCACACAAATATCGTTACTTTATAATGCTAAGACCCGAGATTAAGTAGTGACACAAGTGGC